ATATAGAGACAAGAGTGAAGGCTTCTTCACTCTTGTCAACTCCTTTCTTGCTTCTAGTCTAGTTTCAAGGGTCTCTAGTTTTCTTGTCTTTTGGCAATAGCCATTCTAATTTCTGTTTCAATATTTATACTTGTTTATATATATTTTGTTATCTCTCTTTGAGTGAAGGCTCACTTGTCTGAATTATTTTTTCATCGAGTTCTTGTCTTTGACACTTGCATCTAAATCTTCTTCTATCTTGAACTTTTGATTATTATCAACTTTTATAGGAGGTGATAGTATTTGTCTTCTTTCCAAAATATTCATTGTCTTATATGGCTTAAGAAGAGATATATGATATATAAGATGGATTTTTATAAATTCTAGTTGTTGTAATCAATAAGTAATTAAATTGACTTATTCATATATAAGAAATGGTTCAAGTATATAATAATCCAATTTGTCACAAGAGCAAATAGTCTTGATATTATGACAAAGTAATTATACTTTATCACCACCATAGAATTGAGGTTGTTCCTTACAATAGACATCGACATTGATCTTTTGTTATTCTTGAGCTTCTTTTAGTTTTACTTTCATTGTTGTATGCCTTAATAAGTTGATTTATTTATTTTATTTTTTTATTAGTTTGAAAATAAAAAATTAAAGATAGTTTTATATCTACCTTTAAAATCTTAAAAAGGATTTTCTAAAATCTTAGTATAAATTAAGCCCCTTTATCCAATATGATATCCTTAGATAATCCATCATAGCAATAGATGTTGTCAAAGAAAAGTTTAGTTATTTTTTATATGTAATAGATTTTATACATGGTACAAAATATGCCATCTTGGTGAAACAATTTATTATTACAAATATAGAATTATAGAAACTTGAGAGTAAAAAATTGATGTTAAAATCTATAAAAATAAAAGACCATGTTTATTTTAAAATAAATAATGGCTAAAAAAGTTTACAAGGTTGATGACAAGAAGTTTTTGATCTTGAACAAATGTCACATGATTATACAAAATCTTTGACTACCTTCTATATTTGATGCTATCAAAAAATTTTAATATTAATTTTACAGTCTAATGATATCCAATATGTCTTGTTATTAGAAAGTTGTCACAAGCTTAGAGAATACGTAATTATGCTCAATCTTTTAGAAAATATAAGCTATCCTTGAAATAGAGTAGATTTTTCTTAAATTCAAACTTAGAAGTATCATGAAATTTTGAATTTTTTTCTTTAATATCATGAATGAAAGGATTAAAGGATATACTTATTTGAACTTACTTAAAAAAAATTGAATCAATAATTAGTGGTGATTTCATTGCTTAAAGATGAAATATTTCTAGCTTTAAGAAAATTATTCATTATTAATCAAAAGTTTCATTTCTTTCTTTTGGTATAAGATAAGATCATCTAAAAAGAATATTTGATAATCTTTATTATTTTTTGTGGCTAATAAGTGATTTTGAATTCAAATCTTTATAAAGATATATTCTAATAAATTTGGCAATAATTCAAAATAAGGACTAATATAAAATACTTAAATTTTTTATGATCTATATACATAGTAAATGGATTAAAATTTCTTTCTAGATAATGGCACCATTCTTAAAACAAATCCACAATTACAAAAAGTTCTTTATTATGGATCTTGTAGTCAATCTCAGTTGCTAAAACTTTTCTTAAATAAAAAGCTACTGGGTGAAGTTTATCATTTGTTTTCTTCTGTGACAATATGGCACCTAAAGCAAAGTTTAATATGCATATTTTCATAAAGAATGGCTTGAAAAAGTTAATGCAGTATAAGATTGGTGCAAAAACAAAAGATGTTTTCAAAACTTCAAATGCTGCTTCTTCTTCTTAATTCCACTAAAGTTTATCTTCATAAGTCAAATGTATAAGTCAAGCTATAACTTGAAATAAGTTCTTGATAAAGTTTTCATAGAAATTAGCAAATTCCAAAAAATATTAGATATCTCATACCATTTTTGAAATCTTCCAATTTATAATAGTTTGAACTTTCTTAGCATCATGAGTCCATCATTTGAATTGATGTATTTTAAAAAGTTGACTTGAGTAGTATGAAATACATACCTTTTTATCTTGAAATAGAGCCTTATATCTTTTAATTTTTGTAATATACAATAAATATGAAATTCATATTCCTCTATATTCTTAGACTAGATTAAAATGATGTTTAGATAACAGACAATAAAATTGTCCAAAAAATCTGATAAAAAATCATTCATTAGAATTTGAATCCTTGATAATTAACACACATCTACAATGATTTATTTTTTTCTTCACAAATGTGATTGAAATTCTTGCTAAAGATTTGAAGTGGCATATGAATTTTTTGGCAAGATTCTTTTTAATATATTCTTTAAATTTAGCCAAATTATTTTGTGATAAACTATAGATTGGTCCAAATGATAACTAAGCTCTGTCTCAAAAGTCAATTGATTAGTCATATAGATGAAATTTTGGAAGAGTATTTATATTCTTTTTTTTTAAAATATCTTTTAAATCTTAATATTGGCTTAAAATTCTCTTTGAAGTCTTTCCACCATTAAAAATATGTATAGCATAAATAACATAAGAGGTTTTTTTTTTTTTTTTTTTTTTTTTTTTTTTTTTAGTATACAAAAAAATTCTTGTACCTACAAATACAAATTCAATTGTATTAGATTTATAACTTTTTACTTGATTAATAATATTCTTAGTTAAATTTTCAAAAAAAGTTAAGATTATGAGAAATCTAATTTATCTAAAGATTATATGTATTTAGGCACAATAAACCTAATATGATTGGATTAAAGAAAGATCTAATGATATTAAATATTAAAAAATTATTATGACTATTAATTGCTACTTTTATAGAAAGAATTTTATAAATAACATCTTTAGAAGACAACAGATAACCATCTATGACTTCTATATGAATAAATTTAGTTTTCTTTACTAAAGGTGTCTTATATCTTTTAATAAATTCTTCATTTAAAAAATAAGCTAAGGCTTTTGAATCTAGCAAGGCAAAGACTTTGAGATATTTAAGTCCAAATTAATATCTATTATATAACAAAAGGATAATTTTGAGGAAAAAATAGGACCTTTACTAGGTGTTGTATACGGTTCTAGCAGCACAATCCCTATTGTAGTTGAAAAAATTTGTTTTTTAACATACCATCTTCTTTGATAATTATACTCTTCATTTTATCATTGCATCACTTCTTTGGAAAATATTGAGTAATATGTTTAGGTTCTTTATAATATAAATATAATCCTTCATGACAACAATATATGAATCAAAATTCTATAAAAAAATCTCCTATATTATTTAATATTAGATTACGTCCTTCAAAAAAAGGTAAAAATCATAATAACGTAGAATCTAAAAGAAGTGTATTAATAAACCTGACTTATGATCTTAGAGTTGAATAACTTTAGAATTGAAGTTCAATCACCAATTGTACTTGATTCATGAATCCTTGAAATTTTGATCTTATGCCATCAAACTTTTTATATAAGATAATTCTTGGTTCTCTAATACTTGAATGATTTTTTAATATAAAAAGAGTAGTATAATTTGGTGTAGATATTGAAGCAGCTCCAATCGTCTTTATATCTTCACTTCCTATCAATCTTATTGCTCCTTTTGGTGGTAAATTAAATTGATGCATAGAAAGCATTAACTCTCTCCATTGGTCTTGTATTTGTATCATTGCATGTCTCATTTTAACAAGCTTTGCCATCATTATATAATAAAAATAAAAATAAATATCTAGTATCTCTCAAATAGAAGAGAAGATTGAAAAAAAAAGAAATTTTAAAAATAATATCAATTTAAAAGTGGATAATTTATAACTTCTAATATACCTATATCTTATTAAGAAAAAAGAATAATCTACTCTTAATCAAGAAGATACAAAGTATTGATATTATAAGTGTAATCTTATCAATTTGTCAAGGTCAAAAACTTGATGGAGGCAAATAAACAAGTAAAATGTTTTTCAAAGAAAGATGAAAAAATAAAAATAAAAAAATAAGTATGTTAAAAAGAAACTAGAATAGCTATTGCCAAAAGTTAAGAAAATTAGAGATCCTTAAAACTAGATTAGAAATAACAAAGGAATTGACAAGAGTAAAGAAGGCTTTATTCTTCCCTCTATATATACTATCTACCTAAAAGTTATGTAGTAACATTTTATAGGACCTCCAATACATGTCCAATTTGTGAGACACATGTCTTAACTTGCAAGACAAGTTTCCTATATGTGTGCCACATTATTAGCTTGTACCTCAAGCTACCAATATGTATGATACATGGCTAACTTGTTGGCCAATTTTCTAATCTACTAATCACCTATAGACATGTATAAAGGTAAAATCACATCTATAAAGCCTCTATGAAGCTTTCTTAAAAGATATTATGAAATTAATTTATTTTTACCTACTTCTATCTATTCATATTACTTAGGTAACTATTAGAATAAATATGTATGTCTGTGACAACTTTCTAGTATAATATTTTTCAATATTACATCAACATATATATACTTTGATTTATTCTTTATTGTATTCTTCTTTCCTACATGCTACAAATTAAGATGTTGTAATAACACTAATTTCTATCAAATATATGTATATTATATATATATATATATATATATATATATATAATATCTATTCTGATTTTTTTACAAATATTATAAATAATTGATCTTTGTAAAGGATTCAAAATATAAAATTCTTAGATTAATTTACTAAGATCAATGGAATTTAAAAGTAACTTTGGTCTTTTAATTTTTTAAATCTTTTTTTAATAGTTTTACTTTATTGATTACACTATGTCTTGATAAATTATAATATATTGTTTTAAAGCTTCTACAATATTTTATCTTCAAGTTCCATATATGTTATGATTTTCTTAAAATATTTAGAGACCTTTCTATAAGAATCTTAGATAAATTAAATCAATAAACTTCACAAAAGAATACTTAAAACTATTATTAGAATTATTGTCATCTATAATATTGAATAGGTTTAAAATATAGCTTTAGATCTTAATATATAACTTTTTTTTCATGCAAATAATACATTCTTCTTGTAAGAATTCATCTATTATAAGTAAATGATAAAAATTAATCACTATTATTTTTTGATTTTTATAATATAAAGAAATATTTTTTACAAGAAATAAAATAAAATATATAATATCCACACTGAAAGACATTGAATACATAGAAACATCGTGAGCAACAATCACAAGTAACCAAAGCAATGTGACTTAAAAAGATTGAAACAATATATTGAATACAATATACAAGAATCATACTGGTATTGCTCGTGTAGATAATCTAGCTGGGTCACCTCAAGTTGTCGTCTAAATGTGAAATCCTGATTGTCTGCAACAATTTGGATTGCAGGTTGTGTAGTATACTAATTTGTTATCAGTTTCATAGCTATTTGCTGTTGCAAGTTGTTTTACGTGTATGGTTATCTAGGTTATAGGCTGTACTGACTTTCTGATAGAAGAAGGCGAGACTTGACACCAGGCTCACTGACCTTCTTGATATTAATTTACCCTTACGATTAGGGTGTTCATCCAGCTGGTGGAGCTTGGGTACAAAGCCTTGTGATCTTCTTTCCTTGGGCCGCAAACCAAAGCGTAAGTTGGATATCTCATGAAGATGAACGATGTTACTGCACTTCATGTTGTGCACGAAAAGTAATACGTCAGTTGAGCCTTGGAGTGATTAGCTTGGTGATAAAAATAAATAAATAAATCAATAAATAAAATGAGGTTGATAATCATAAACAGTGCTGCATCCAAAATTTAGGAGTAAGGATGTTAGACAAGCCGGTTCTAGTGGCAGAGTTCGTAAACCTGGCAGGTATTTAAACCCAAACCTGTTGGTTCACATGCACTTCACATTAAAAAAGATTCAACAGGTCTGGGAAAAAATGAAACAAATGTACCTCTTCAAGGTGCCGCAATGGATAAATTCTTAAATCCAAGTTGAGGATAAGAACCAAAGAGTAAAATTGTCAGCTTTAAAACACTCCCATCATCATATAATTAAAACAAAAGAAAGCTTCACACGGCGGAGCAAAATGAATTTGATAAGATCACCATCAAATTTAGGAGACATGCATAACTTACCGTTGAGTGAACACGTGCAAAAATTTGCATGATAGTCCACATATGCATTTATCAGAACATTTTAAGCCAACCACTGTGTTCATATCCGAATCTGCTACAACGAGCAGTTGCTTTATCAGCTGTCAGCATTTTGATTGAAGTTTATCTGATCATGAGACAAGACGTGATCTATTTTGACTACGATAACAGTAATGAATACACAAGATTTGAACCAAGTTCTTATAGTTATTAACTAGATGCCACTTTACTTCCATTTGTTACCAATCTGGGCCCATCCACCTCAACTGAAATCTAATCCTAGAACAAAAAACAAGATCGTCATAGAACTTAAAAACTAGAACATAATATCGCTGAAGATACTCAGAGAACATGAAACTCCTCGTTACAAATCGACGAAGTTGCAAGTTGAGACTTTTCATGCGTGATCTATACCTTAGACTGTTCGAACTCATTTAACTGTTTTTAAAGCTCTTTAATCCTTCCTCATGGATCAGGCAAGTCTTGCTCCAGTCTGTTGTCTGAAACAATGAAACAAAAATACTTTGACCTGCACTATCAAATTCTCGACTTTTGGTTGAAGTGCTTCGATGATCTCGGCCTGCTACCCAGTCATCCGCTTTATTCCAAAACACTCATCCTCTCTCACTGGTATACCGTAACATTTCACCAACTTATCTTCTAGTCTAATTTCTCTTTCTTACAGATCAGCAACAGTTCTTCTCGACATTTAATCAACTACCTCAAAATATGTCTCCTAGGCATCTTTGATGCACTCATCTGATGACACCTAATTCTACAAAACATTCGGATAGCATTTGATGGCTAATAGCGTTCTCGCCTGCTTCAAGCTATTCCCTCTTTTCTTCCTGGTCCACATTCTCTAGGTTCAAAACCAGGAGTTCCCCCAAATTCATGACGAAGTAATTGATTGCTCAAGGCTCTAGCCACTTTTCCTGATTGTAAGCTCTTACTGCCGCTGCCAGGAGGTGATTCCGCTTCTTCATACCTCTCGAACAATTTTCCGCTAAACGGGTTCCCTCATAATAGTATTTTGGAATACTTGTCGTCGTTTCCCCAACAAAGCATCTCAACATATTCTCGATTTTGCGTTCGAACTTCTTCATTTCTAATTTGGTCAGGTTGTAAGTTTGGGGAGAAGCCCGTTTTGGGATTGGACAAGGCTCACTTGGGCAAGCTCTTGAGGTGTCGGCGGCCTCGGATGAAGAAGGTTTCAAATCTGGGGAGTTGCCCTTGCTCTTCTTCTTTTTCCACATAACTAACACTTGATTTTCTGACTAGAGAGAATATTTCAACCCTTTTGGATTTCTTCTTCCTGCAAATAAGAAATTGAATTTAGAAATGCAGCTTAGACAAAGAGATAAGAGTGCAAAATTAACAACGTGGTCTTCAAGTCTCAAAGCATCGAAATTTGATTCATTCACAGTTTGAAATATGTGTAAGATCCTGCGCGTGTTCCAACATATCCTCCTGATATAACTGACACCGGCTGGAAAATTCTGACATCTCTTAGCTAATCTCCTAGCTAAGAGACGTCAGAATTCTTAACTTAGAACTAAGCTAATCTCCTAATTAAGAACATGCTAATCTCCTGGCTAAGTAGGAGATCAGGCAAGAAACCTCGAAAACCAACTCATAAACCACTCTATAAAATTCTAGGAGGTTCCTGTATATCACTAATCGCTGAAAAAGTACAAGCTCAAAACTCAAACAGGAAATCAGTTTCTCCCCTTTTAGTCCTCAACTCCACTTGCGATTGCCATCCTAAGCTGAACTATAAATTCCACCGGCTGATCAAGCTGACTTATGGGATTGACCGCAATCTGCTGAGGTGGAGGGAAACGAAAGGCAGTTCCGGGAGCTCGGAGAATGAATCGCGGCACCCGTTTCGATTCGCAACTGCAAAATTCAATCGGTTCACGGGGCAGGCAAGAAGGCTCCGAAATGGCGTTGGTGGTAGCGGTGTCCATAGGCTCAAGACGACGACTGTTCCGATTGGAACCGCCGTGGCTTGGTGCCGATTGACGTTGACCGTCACAGTCGTCCTCCTCGTCGATTCACATTTGCCTCGACGTTCCCTGTGGTTCTCTAAGACGTTCCATATAGTTCTCCGAGACGTTCGCATGTAGAATTTTAATGGCTTCCAAAAACATCCAACTCCCCTTGGATTTCTGATTCTTTTCCATACAGATTAAAAATTTTACTCTACAAACCTCTTCTACAAGTTTAAATAAAATTTAATACTTAGCTACTTTTCTTTTTGGCACAAATGAAGCAAAAATTTTAGGGGTACCATAACAAATGTTGGTCTAACCAGGACTTAAAAATCCCAACCACACCATGACACTTTTGGGACCCAAAGAAAATTATTGTACAACCTCATTGCCAAAGAACTATTCTAAGACTATTTTGGTTTCTGCTAGGAAGCAATCTGAGTTTCCAACCCTGCCTACTGTATTCTATGCTGTTATTTCTCCACCATGAATCAAAGTTTTTATATCAGCCATCTGAGGCTTCAATTAGAATATTTAGGCATTGGTTCCAGGCAATCTTGCCATAGTCAGTGAAGCCTTGCCACATCCTGGTAGTTATCTTTTCTAATGGCCAATCAACTTTGTTGAATACTTGATCATTTCATTCCAGCCACATTTTTCAAATGGCCACACCTTGACAAAGAGTCCACATTGCATTAAATCGCCCAAATTGTTTGGGTAATTCATTAGCAAATATGCATTGGACCCATGTAAAATTGGAACATGTGGTTGGACTGTTGAGCTTGGCCTCATATGACATGTAGGATCTTGATGCACTATTTCCATATTCTCTTTTCTAGTGGGCATGTTTAGAATAAATAGAAGATAGATTTTTTCACTCTTGGGTAGAAGAGGCTGGATGTGTCAATTATATCACTGAGTTTTTGTTTTTATACATTAACTGCAATTGCTTTATGCCAAAAACTCCACAAAAATGTTGCTTCTTTCTTTGTTCTATGAGAGTGCCATAAATTTTTCCATTTCATTGGGCAGTCATTCTGGAGCTTAGTGTATCATCTGGTGTTGCATAGAGAACTTGGATTTTTTAGGTTGATAATCCACATCCACACTTCTGATGTTGTGAATTGAAAAAATGGCATAGACATAGTCCAACGGTGTTTTTTAAGGTCAAAGATGAGGTCTTCGAGCGGTCCATAAATGTAATGGAACCGATGTTTATTGTTTCTCCTTGTTACAGTAATGACTGTAACAATCTCAAGTCAGTATACAATGTTGTCCTTGCATGTGATGTCAATTGCACTAGCTGTGCAAAGGTGTGGACTGGCCAAGATTTATTAATCCATGTTGGAGATAGGATGTAACATGTGGTCCATATGTCCAACATTGTAGATATTGGTGCATAGTTCTGCTATCAAAAATATTGAATTCAAATCCAGCTGGAGAGTAAAATACTGGATACATTTGCATATTTTGGCATATAGGCTGATTCAATTGCCAGCATGGGTTGTATGAGGGTTTATTTGTAATTTAGCATCAAACTCCCTCTGGATGGCCTCAATGAGTATATTTTAGCATTGGTTCTATTCTATTAGCATGTTAAATCATGAACTAGCCTCACCCCTTGTGAAGAATTGGTCCTACACAATGGCCTTGTAATCATAGATGTATCAACAACCAAGATTTAACAATGTTGCTGTTCTTTCCCTTGTAAATGTTGGCTAGACTGCTGTAACTAGTTCTGGGCTGAACCAAATTCTAATATTAATCATTTTTGTGTGCAATTGTGATCAATGCTACTAAAAGAATTTTGATACACACTGCCAAGCCTTTTCAATTTGGTTTCAAATATTTGACCCAATTGATTGATAATGTTTTTCCACTGTAGCTCAATTGATGTTGAATTGCTATTTTTCTTATGTATGACGTTGACAGGCTGCCAATTGGTATCAAAGCAAGATGGTTATGTTGGAATAGCTGGATTTGGTTGCCTTCACAACCCATTTATTAAGCAGACAATCTATAGAATCCATAGGTTCCATTAAACTTAGTCTACTCACAATCTTCTTCAGCATACATGTTGACCAAGCAACCTTAGGGCAAATACAATACTTCTTTTTGGTCTACAAATAGTTTGGAGGAGCACCTTTATATGTGCAATTACTTTTTGTAATTTGGCCCAAATTTCCTACAAAGTGCTAGATTGTTGATGCAACCACTAATCATTAGTCAATTAACAACAATTTTATGGAGCATCAATATAATAATTTCTTTTGGATTTTCTTCCATAAGAAGTTGTCTACATCTAACATTTGGATGGGCAGTTTAAAGAAGACACTTAGTTGTTTTGCTAAGTGCCTTTATGAGACCTAGATCTACCCAAATGTTATTGTTTACATATAAGCCAAGCATTTTTTTTACTCACCTAATATGTCCTTGACTTAATCTAATTGATAGAAACTCAAAAATAGATGCAAAGGTGTAGAATATGGTTATGAATCAATGCACTTCTTCTTCATTTGAATATACAAAGTACGAGGTGTTGTCTGCATATTGCAGCATCACTTGTTACACATAAGTAATTAGCAACTATTGATCACTTCTCTTTTGATTTTGGCATTGAGAGCCTTTTTAATTAGAATGAATGAATATGGTATAATTAGGCATCTTTAGTAGATACCTCATCAAATGAAGAAGGATTTGGTAGCTTTGTCATTAAGGTTCTTAGTTGAATTTGTTCTTTCAAAGATTAGATGTATTATATTTATGAAGCTATATGGAAATCCTATCATATATATACTATTAATTTAAAAGTGCTAGTCAACTTGGTCATAGGCATTTGAAAAATCAAATTTGAAGAATATGCTATCTTGTGGGGATTTACTTATTCAAGTCAATATTTCATTAATTAACATGATATTATCCGAAATCAATCAATTATACAAGAATTTATTGTCATGTTGTGGTTTGGCTATCATGTAAAAATAATATATATATATATATATATATATATATTTAATATATAATTTACTATACAATGTAGTAAGAGCCATCTTAATTACATATTAGTAATTCTTGAAATCTTATTTTATTTCTTTTATTTGGTATTCAGGGCACATTTTATATAAAATTTATTAGAAAAAGGATTACAAAAGGATTTTTGTATAAAAAGAGATAGTTAGGCCAACTATAAGAATGAATGTAAATGGATGATAAAAATCTCCATTTCTATTGGCCAAAATTCATGCTCAATGGATTTCAAGGAGGATGCTTGAGGTGATATTAGGGATTAGGATTATTCTCTCAAAGCCATTTGAACTTGAGAGGCTAAGGCTACAAAGTTTAGATTTTTAGATATAGTTTTAATAAATATTTTGTATAATTTAGAATTTTTATAAAAGAGTTATAGGCACTCAAAGCTAAGGTATTGGTTTTGTACATACTTTCACTCTTTTGAACATTATAAATACATATAAAATGTAATAAAGAATCGGCAATTGGAATCAAAGAGAACACTTTTTTAGCTAATATTTTTGCATATTTCTTGATGAATTCTAAGTTTGGATGAAAGATATAGGAAGTTGAAGTCAATGCTTGCAATCTAAAGGCAATAAGTGACCCAATTTATTAGTGGTTGTTTTTTGAGCTATATCTTGAGAAATTTGATAAGATTTTGACAAAAAAATTCAAAAAATGTGTATTATCATGTTAATAAATTTTATGCACAAATTTTATGGCATTTGAGGCTTGGTTTTTGAAATATAGAGAAAATAGTAATTAAGTGCTTGTAAATTAGGATTTAGAGTACTTGCAAGGGTTTCTAAGATACCAAACAATCAAAAGAAGATTTATGGTTTATTTTTTTGTAATAAAGCTTAAAGATAAATTCTACATTATCTAGAAACTTTATAAAAATAAAACAATTGGATCAAGAGATATAAATTTCTAAAGTTTGGAGAGAAAAAATCCTTTGTGGGAGAAAAATATTTTAAAAGGATTTTGCTACAATTTGGACATTTTATACAAAATAAAAGGATTATTGGGAGTAAAGACTTTATATATTTGTAAAAGATGGAGATATGAAGTTATGAAAAAATTATGATATTAAGATGGATTTTTCAAAGGAGGTTATGGATTTTCTTTGAGCATATTAGAAATCAAGCTTATTGACAAATGATTAGTTATGACTTGGTATAGTAAAGGATGATAAGGCATTTCTAGATGCTTTAGAAAGCCTTTTATACAAGCATTCTTAAATATAAAAGAATTTATTAATAGAATATCTTTTAATATTATTACATTTATTTATCCTTTATAATAAGAATATATCACTTATTGGAACTTGGCCAATAACTTAAAGCTAAACTCTCTTTACCTAAGTATCCAATGTATTTCTAGATAAAAAATCACGCCATATGACAATGCTTTGATATTAGTTTGAATATGGACTTTAAAAAGCATAATAAGTCTATAAGCTATCCTATATGGTAAAGCACCATATTCTATTAATATACAAATAATTTAACTATAATAGGCTCCAATATACTCTCAATTATTTGTAAAAAATTCTATAACAATCATGTTTGGACTAAGAGCTTTTTTTTTGCCATTGCACATGTGACAATGTATAGTTTTTTAGTATACTCTCAATTATTTGTAAAAAATTCTATAACAATCATGTTTGGACTAAGAGCTTTTTTTTTGCCATTGCACATGTGACAATGTATAGTTTTTTAGTAGTGATTGGTGTACTAATAGCCTTGATTGTACACAACAAAATAGATTATTGGACAATGCCAAGTATTTCTGCCTTTGTAGTTCGGCATTGCTTACCTTGGTCTTTGATTGCATATAGCTGACTAGAAAAAAAAAATATAAGAGTTGGCAATTTATTGTAGATTAGTAATGCAGATTCAAAATTTGTTCATTTTTTTTGTAATTGCATTTCTTGTGGGTTTATCTTTGAC